CTTTTTCATATTCTGTTGTCTTATTTTCCTTGTGAAATCCATTTGTCCTAGAATTATTGTCTTTTGTACTGAGGCTTCTCTTCCTGTGATGTATTTGAAGAATGGTAGCCTTAGGATGCATTTACACTGTGAAAATGAATTTAGAGATGGATTGGGGTTTTTGAAGTTGGCTTAAAAGCATGTAGTAGTCATACGGTTTTTGGCTTGGTGTGTGCATCCTTTTGAGAAAACTTTCAAGCTATATTTAAACTATGATGTATATGAGTTGAGGGGGCTACGTGGACTTTTAGAACAGTTGCATTTCAGGCTTTGTCCTAGGCCTACTCACCCTTGAGCTGGCTGCTTCTCACAACCACTCTTTTGTGGCATTATTTTAAATATTTTTTTATTTCATTCAAAGCGGGATAGCAGTAGAATCACAGAAAAGTGAAGTTGGAAGGGGCCTACAAGACCATCAAGTCCACCCCCCTGCTCAACGCAGGAATACCATCAAAGCATATCTGCCAGGTGATATCTAAGTTTCTCTTGAATGCCTCCAGTGTTGGAGCACTCACCAACTCCCAAGGTAACTGGGACCACTGTCATACTGCTCTAACAGGATGTTTTTGCTGATATCCAACTGAAATCTGGCTTCCTTTAACTTGAGCCCATTGTTGTGTGTCCTGCACTCAGGGATGATCGAGAACTGATCCTGTCCCTCCTCTGTGTGACAGCCTTTCAAAAATTTATTTATTTATTTATTTATTTATTTACTTACTTACTTACTTACTTACTTACTTACTTACTTACTTACTTACTTACTTACTTACTTACTTACTTACTTACTTGCCGCCCACTCTACCCAAAGATTTGAAAAGTGCTATCATATCACCCCTCAGTCTTCTTTTCTCAAGGCTAAATATGCACAATTCTTCTTCAGCCTTTCCTCATAAGGCTTGGTTTCCAGCCCCCTGATCATCCTTGTCGCCCTCCTCTGAACTTGTTCCAATTTGTTAACATCCTAGTGTGGTTTCCAGAACTGAACACAATACAGTGGAACCTCTAATTACGAACTTAATTCTTCTTCAGCCTTTCCTCATAAGGCTTGGTTTCCAGCCCCCTGATCATCCTTGTCGCCCTCCTCTGAACTTGTTCCAATTTGTTAACATCCTAGTGTGGTTTCCAGAACTGAACACAATACAGTGGAACCTCTAATTACGAACTTAATCCGTATTGGAATGGTGTTCGTAAGTAGAAATGTTTGTTAGTAGAAGCGCCATTTTCCATAGGAATGCATTGAAAACTGATTAATCCGTTCCAGCCAAAGAAAAAAATCCATCAAAAAAAGAAAGAAAGAAAGAAAAAGAAAAAAATGAACAGAGCAAGTCCCATGCTGGGACTGCCAAAAAAAAAAAAAAAAACCCCCCAAAAAAAAAAAAAAACAGAAGAACTTTTTTAAAAGGAAAAAGCAGCATCTTACCAGTCCGAAGCCTCTGTGGAGGCTTTCCGGGCTTCCAGAGCTGCCCCAACCACCCTTCTCCTTCCTCTTGCTGCGCCACTGCCACACACCCCGTCCATGAGCCCCACCCAGGGCCTTCAGTGGTGCTCACTCGTGAGCAGACCCGTGTTTTGGCTGGGCTTACTCGTGAGCAGACCCGCATTTTTGGAGCTTATGCACGAGTAGACCTGCACTTTGGTGGTACTTACTCACGAGTAGACCTGCACTTCGGCAGGACTAATCGTGTGTATACCCTCTGATCCCACCTTGGAAGCCCAGGAGGCTGAACCTCCCTTTTCCTAACCGTTGAGGTGAAAGAGCTACAAAGAAGCAGCCTCTTCACCACCAACAGTTAGCAAATTTAAATTTCCTGCCCTTTTCTGCTGCCTTTTTCTGTTCGTACCTTGAAGCTCTTGCCCTTTTCTGCTGCCTTTTCCTGTTCGTACCTTGAAGCTCCGGCCACAAGTATAGGCAAAATTTTGCAGCCGGAGGTATTCATATCTTGAAATGTTTGTAGCGTGGAATGTTCGTAAGTAGAGATTCCACTGTACTCAAGGTGAGGCCTAACCAGTGAATAGGGGTGAATTAGCACCCGGAGGGATTTTGAAAGTACTATTAATGCAGCCTAAAATAGCATTAGCCTTTTATGTAGCCACCTCACACTGTTGGCTCCTATTTAGCTTGTGATCTACAACAATTCCAAGACCCTTCTCGCTCGTAATTTTGCTGAGCCAGGTATCCCTCATCTTGTAACTGTGCAGTTGGTTTCTTTTTCCGAGGTGCAGGACTTTGCACTTATCCCTACTGAATTTCATTCTGTTGTTTTCAGCCCTGTGCTCCATCCTAAAAAGGCCAGATTACTATTACACACAAAAAAAGATAAAGAGATCGGACTGGAAGGTTTCCCTGCAGCCCAAGACATGTACATAGATGGGACATACACACGCGTGCGTGCACACGCACGCACACACACGCACAGAGAGAGAGAGAGAGAGAGATGGAGGAGGAGGAGGAGGAGGAGAGGGTGGGAGGGAACCCCTAGTCAGGACTGACAAGAGGGAAGGCACAACAGTGAGAAAATGACAAGATCAGCAGCTTCTAGGCTTGTGACTGAGGGAGTGCTTTTCTCCACTCAACCTTTCTCTGCTGGTTCTTTTTTTCAAGCTACGTGTCTGTTATTTCGATTCCCCCCAACTTCTATTTCAGATAGGAGGAATGAAGTGGATGAGGACAGAAGAGAAGCTCTGACATATCGTCTCTTCTTGTGGCAGAGTAATATACCTTGCTTTTCAACCAAAAAAAATATGCTTCCCAGGAATTTTTTTTTTTTTAAAAACCCAAGCTTCCCTGTAGGTGATGTAGTTGAAATTTTTAAAACTGATTTCAAACATGTTACACCCGATTAAAAAAACCAGTGTTTTTAAATGTGTAAACATTCCCTTAGTTTAATCATGTTATGGTAGTATGTAGTGAGAGTTCAAGTTTAATTTGATCTAGAACCCACTTATTTGCTTAATTCATTCTAATGGGAGATGTAAGTTAAAATGGTAGTGGTTAAAATATTGATAGAGATGTCTCATGTCCCATTCAGAATGCAGGATTTTTTAAAAAATGGGTTTCTTGCTATGCAGTGTTGTACAGCTAAAGTACAACTTTAACGAGTGTGTATAGACACACACACACACACACACAAAGGCAGTTAGCATTTTATTCTGGTAATAATTGGGAATATAAACTGCAGTGAATCATTCAAAATGAATACAAAAGCAAATGGGATTTTGAAGGACATCCATGTTAATATTACATATTAGAAAGCTGACATGATTACTGCAATAAGTTGAGTAACAGAGACACAGCCTTCCTTCTTTCTCTAGTGTCTTATTACAACTTGACACAATCTTCCAATTCTGTTAATGAAAAGGGATTCAGTTTTTGCTTACAAAGCACCAATTTTCCCCATCTTTGGTTCTGTATTGGTCTTTAGCTTGACTAAACTGGCAACTGGATCACATCCAATACCTCGGTAGTGTTTCTTCTGTGCTTTGCAGCTCAATCTTAAAAATTCTTCTGCTGACCACATTGGCCTTTAATAGATCCCAGTAACTGAGATTTTCATGCTTGAAAACCAACCCTAGTTCTGGTAAAGCCATGAATGTGAACACTCACCTAGAGGCAAGAATATAATGTATTTTAGCATTTCTTTCTGCATTGTGCCTTTTAAAAATGTAGCTTGATTTGACAATCTCTACAGAACTGTTTTCAGCTTTTGAAGCGTACCGTATTTTTCCGTGTATAAGACACTACTTTTTCCTAAAATATTTAGAGTAAAAATTGAGGGTCGACTTATACACGGAAGTAAGCTGAACCTACGTGCCACAGCCGGCATGCAGAGCCTTCTCTGTGGGCATACAAGCCTTGTCAATGCTGTTGCCCATGCCAGCCTGGTGCAGGGTGCAGCGCCACTCGCTGCCAGGGCTCAGCTTGAACTCACACCGCCGCCTTGTTCCCTGCCTGAAGGGAGCCCATGAGTGGCACCAGAGGCGGTGACCAGGCGGTGACAGCAGGAGGAGGAGGAGAAGGAGGAGCTGCACCCAGCCGCCCCTCAGCACGAAATTGCTGCTGCCCATTAACTGCCGCAGGAGAGCGAGCGAGCGAGCGCAGCACAAGAACCCCGGGCATGAGAAGAAGTTGGGCTAACAATAAATCTACAAATTAACTGCAGTTTAATTGTGTTACTTGATCACTTCGTTTTGGGCTAAGAGTTTAGATTAAACTGAATGAGTCTTCCAAGTACAGTACAGTACTTCATTTTTCCACTGAGTTCTGGCTGTGCTTTGACTCACTTTTGTTTTGCTTTGTTTCCTGGTTTTGCTTCTCACTTGGAAGTGAATTATTTCCTACAGTGGAAGCTTTGGAGGAGAGAGAGGTTGGTTATTGGTTGCATTGGAATACTGCACATTGCGTTGTCGATATATATGTATGGGATTGGACCTGATCAAAGTCAGAACCTAGCTGAAGTGATAATGTTACTGCTGTTCCAAACATTGGCATGGATAACTGTTTATCAACATTTCCTGAATCTGTAAGACTGAGTGTTCTCAGGCATGGTTCTATAGATGTTGGATCTGGACTTCCAGAATTCCTAGACAGCATTGCCAGTGGTCTGGGATTCTGCACATTATAGACCACTGAGATCTGTGGACCTATGCTTGGAAACCACAATCTTGAATACAGCCTTGTTTCTTTTATTTACTTTTAAATATTTAGGCTACTTCCAGGGTTAGAACTCTATCTAGGCAAGATGAAAGCAAGGCAAAACAGTAACCACACAACACAATAATATTTATATATTTTTTGAATGTGAAGGAAGCGTAATCTAGAATTCTAGCTAAATAGAAGTGCTGTAGAATAGTGTTCTTAAGCTGTGCTATGTGTCATAGACAGTCTGTCAAGACAATGCTGTTTTGTTATAAACGTACTTTTTGAGTTGTGTTAAATATGGGTTTTGTCTTTTGTCTTGCAGGCAATTAAGTGGCATGATTGATGGAGAAATTAATTGCTTTACCTACAACAGTCTTCTAAGACATGGAGCAAGAGACAGCACAAGGTACTATGATGGAAATGTTTACATATGAGGAAAAAAAGTCCAGAATGATGCACAATTCCAGACAAATTCCATGTAGATGTTGGTGTTCTGTGCCAATCGACTGCTAAGAAAGTTTTGGAGGCTGTCTCTAAGTGATGACGCGGGGCTTTGAAAGACTTTTCTGTCCACCATAAAGGAAACTGAAATAAAGCATTCTGGATGCCACTTATCAAAATAGAAAGAGATTAATTGCAAAAACGTAAAGAATACCACTTCCAGGGAGCACTGTTCAATATTTTTGCTTTAACACATATTAAGAAAAGACTGATGGCAAAAAACCTTGGAAGAGAGACACATGTATTCCTGCTTCTTTGGAGTTTCTTAACATAAATTATGACATAATAGAGAACAGCTACAAGAACAGAAGTATACATAGCCACTTGTATAAATCATGTGATCCTTTTGCAAAGAAAGACAAATGTTTAAAAACTGGAATTCCTCCATCACTGGAAAGAACTATGTGTGCTGAAATTCAATTAAAAATGGATGGATCTCAAGTAGAGCTCAAGCCACTAAGAAGCCAGTCCTCAAATAAAAATAAAACAAAGAGCAATGACTGCAGTTATATTAAAGAGAGAAAGGGTGTTTCAGAAAGCTTGTCTAGTTTGCACAATAATTTCATTTGGAATGACTGCCTCCAGCCAGTAAAATCTTGTACTGATTGCACCAATGATTCCACAGACTGCACTTGTAATTTCATGGAACTTCCAACTACCTGTGGGAGTAAAACTGGACCTCAGTTGTGTGCTGCTGCAGTAGATAAGTATTTGTATTTGGAAGGAGCAACCCAAAACCTGAATGTGGCGTGTTCAGCCCACAGTTTCTCAAGTGACAATTTTACTGGAAAAATGCCTTCAAAGCCCATTCTGAGCCATTTTGAAAACTGCAATGAAGGCTATTTAGAAGAGGCAGAGGAAGATTTTTCTCGAAGTAAGAAGGAGCGTTCCACCCTATTAATCAGAAGATTTTGCAAAAATGATAAGAAAGTTAAGAAATCGGTCTATACTGGGACAAGAGCCATTGTTAAGACTTTACCATCAGGACATATAGGAGTGGTTGCTTGGAACTGTGTTAATCATTGGAGAAGGCATAATGAGCTAAAACACCACAGAGTTATTTCAGAACTTAAATTTCAAAATTCAGTAAGCCAAGTGCTAAGTTCTTATCTTCTGCAATCTATACACCATGAGGTAAGTGCCTTTCTATAGTTTTTAAAAGTCTACTGTAGCCCTGTTTGAGCATTATCCCTAAAAGCAGGGGAAGGTTGTGAGGAGGTGGGGATTTTAGTGATGCAGGTGCACATAAGCCACTCCTCTTCCAGCTACCTGACCCAGCCGTAAGGCAGATCTTGGTATGTTTACTATTAAGGTCTCTGAAGGCAGTTGTAAGCCTCTGAATGTGCTTGCAGTTCTTCTGTAATCAAGAACTTTTCTTCCTGATCATGGGAAGACAGTAAGTGTGGGTTGGACAATAGCCTTTATAGGTCCCTTCCAACTTCATTATTCTATTCTATGACCTTTATGATGAACATACAAAATATCTGCCTTATTCATGGGATGGATGCTGGAGATACATGGGCTGGGAATATTGCGTAAATTCCAATGCCACCTTCCTCTTGAAGAGTCCCCCCCACTTTCATGCCTAATATCTAAATATCTTCGTGAGTTTAGTGGTTGAGGAATTCAGATCTGAAAAAATGACTTTTCATAAATGATATATTTTTCTTATAATTATATGCATACTTGGAAGTAAACCTCACTAGACACAGTGGGACTTAACTTTTTCAGGAACATACATAGGGCTACACTCTTAAGAACTTCTGTTTGAGTCTAAAATGTGTCACTATTTTTCTGTGTACTGAAACAAGAAATTGCTGTCCACCTCTGTCTCTGCAAGTTATTTTAAATCAGTAAGGTTTCTAATTAATATTTCTCTCAGTCTGTTTTCTTTTAATTAAGTGTTATAATGTTAATCAGATGCTTTTCTAAACCAAGAGAAAGATTACAATTCACTTGTGAGAATCATCCAGAATGGATTGCATTAAAGAAAAGTGTGGGTGTGGTGTACCTTGTGTACTTCTTTGACTTGCTTAAAACAGAGCAGAATAATCTGTGAGGGAATGATCTGCTGGGGATCCTGCTTTGAGACAGTTGTGTGATTAGTGAAGCTGCATTTAATGATATCAGTATTTAAATATTTTCCTCAGTTTTGTCTAAATGTGTCTCTTAAACTATGGTTTTGGAACAGTTTTGTGATTAGAATCAAACTGATACATTTTACATCATGATAAGATGGGCTCTTTAAAAATCTTGCTTTCTTCATAGTTTTAGTAGTTTCTTTGTGCATGCTGAATTTGGTCCATTTGACTGGCAGAAGCTCTTCAGGTTTTCATACAGGATGCTCGTTTAGCCTGGTCTGAAGCTCCCTGGTATCACTGGATGATCTCCCATCCAAGTAGTGGCCAGACCTAACTGCTCTTGTGGTTGTTGTGGGTTTTTCAGGCTCTTTGGCCGTGTTCTGAAGGTTGTTCTTCCTAACGTTTCGCCAGTCTCTGTGGCTGGCATCTTCAGAGGACAGGAGTAGCACTACTCCTGTCCACACAGACTGGCGAAAAGTTAGGAAGAACAACCTTCAGAACAAACCCAAAGAACCCGAAAAACCCACAACAACCATTAGATCCTGGCCGTGAAAGCCGTTGTGAATAACTGCTCTGTTTACATGTACCACAGTCTGGTAACTAAACATGGCAGCTGCTCTGTTTGTGCTCATATGGTGGAATGCATCTATATATATCATATTAAATGACTCTGTCTGTGGTATTTATAATATTTATAATATTTATAATATTTCAACTAATTAGCCCTATTGTCTTCAATTGCTGATGTCATTTTTATGAACTTGGATTTTTGCCTTTTCTTGGTTGCAATTTTTTTTTTTTGATTTGCATTTTTAATCTAAGATGACTTGAATTTAAATTTTTATCACAGTAAGATAGAGGTATAAATGTTATAAAGAAGAAGGAAGTCAGTAGAAAAAGAGACAGTCAGTAGAAGAATTTGAGACATTTCCTTGGTGTAATCCTGGCTTGTGTGCTCCAAGCTGGAAGAGTTCTACGAGTTCTCGTAAGACTTGTCAGATTTTTACGGTGTTTTCCACCCTCTTTTTAGGCCTTATTTTAGTCAGTGTCTAGGCCTCATCTCTTAATACTGTCTTAATATTCTGTATCAAGGAGGTGGAGGAGTCTATTGTCATGCTTTTTATTCAGATTCCCCAGCCTGTTGCCCTTCAGATACTTTGGACTTAAATCCTCATCGTCCTTTGCTGTTGCCATTGTTAGATGGTGCTGATGTGAGCAGCACTTCAGAACATCTGGAGGATGCCCTGTGTTGGGGAAGGTTGCTTTCATTGTTGGGTTTCCTGTAGCTGGAGATATTCCATTGTACTACTTTACATGGGGATGTTCAGACAACAGTCATGGCTGCTGGGCAACAGCCAAGCAATACTCATTGCTGCTGGGAAATGGGAACTAATGCTTGGGGGGAAAGATATGAAGGATATTTTCCACCTCATATCTTGTAAATGGCTGGAGCAACTACCAGAGCAGAAATTTATGAGGGATTTCCTCCTGTAACCTTTACTTTTTTTCCATAAGGTTCTCATTTGTCCTTCCTCTAGGGAGGATCTTCTGTCTCTGGCCACCAAGCAAAATTTCTGCCAAAGTGAGAAGACTGAGAGAAATCAAAAGGTTTTATTTTATGGTACCAGAATTGCATCAGTGTTGTGACATGTTTAAAGAAGCCTACATGCTTCTACAAGAAGTGGCAGGATTATTTTCTCCAGAGTCACTGACAGACTTGCAGATGACTTAGGTAACCTGGATCCTTTTTTATGCCATTTGTAGCATACAGTGTCCTCCAAATGTCCTAAATGTAACTGTGTAGGTGAAGTTAATGATGTCTGGTAAAATGATCACACACAAGAACAGCTTGTCACCTGTGGGTGAGCATTTATATCACTGTTCTGTGCAAAAGAACTATAAAAGAAATCCGATGCTGATGTAATAGATTCATCACCTTGTACAAATAAGTCCTGTGCAGAATAGAAGCTTTTGATCTTGGGATATTGACCTTCTCCTCTCATTTCCTCTCTGCTCTGCAGCCAATTGAACCATTAGTTTTATACTGTGATTTGAAAATTACAGACTGTGATAGGGACTGTGCGTTTATTGCCCTCCACTCCTAGAAATAGACAGTATGTCTGTGATTATCTTTGCTCTAATTACTTCCATATTAGACCACAGACATATACTGTATGGCCAAGTGCCTTTTGAAGACTACTCATAAACTGCTGTTAGTTTTTTAAAAAGCCACTCAACTCTTAAATGAAGCCAATCAAAAGGGAACATACAGTATTAGCACTTATCAATACCGGCTTTGTTTCCATTTCCAGCTACAATTCAAGATACAGTTCTGATACTTGCCTTTTTGAAACTTTGTAACAGTTTGAGAACATGATATATGAACCAATCTACCTGACGTGAACCTGCCCATCTCTAATGATGTGAGGTGGGAGGCTCTAGATGTCCTTCTTGCTTGGACATCTTGTGTGCAGAATACTTAGCCTAGGAAGGCTTGCCTTGTGCCCCTTATTAATTTTCACAGTGCTAAGGCAGAAATGTTTCTTTTTTTCTTCTTCCAGGCCTTTTAATCTTGAATGAAATTCTTGTGCAAATCAATCCTATATAACTTCAGAAGTAGGCAAAGCAATAATAATAATAATAATAATAATAATAATAATAATAATAATAATAATAATAATAATAATAATAATAATAGAAAAACAATACGCAGCAGTAATAATAAT